ATCCGATAATCTGTGCGCCATGTCCATCGGCTTCCTACTCCCATCAGCTTCCTCAGCCGTGATCTGGCGAGGTCCAAAGAAGAACGCACTGATCAAACAATTCCTGTTGGATGTGGATTGGACTGGCGGATTGTACAACGAGGAGGAGGAGGATGATTTGGTGCGCGTCGATGAGCAAGAGGAGAAAGAGGGACGATTGGATTATATGCTCATCGATACGCCACCCGGAACGTCGGACGAGCACTTGTCCATCGTTTCGCTCTTGCAACCCAGCGGATTGCAAGGTGCGATCCTGCTGACGACGCCCCAAGAAGTCTCTTTGCAGGATGTTCGAAAGGAGATTTCATTTTGCAGAAAAGTCGGCTTGCCCATCCTGGGCGTGGTGGAGAATATGGCGGGATTCGTGTGTCCTGCTTGTCATGGCGCATCCGACGTCTTTTACCCCTCTACCGGCGGAGCAAAGGCCCTGTGCGAAGAGCTGAGTTTGAGATTCTTGGGCAGCGTACCGCTCGACCCTAGGATTGGCAGATGCTGCGATGAGGGCGAAAGCTTTGTGGATGCTTTTCCCGAGAGCCCAGCTGCAAAGGCTTATTTGGACATTATCGCACGTGAGTGATTTTGCCAGCAGATTGTCCTGTTCCCCAAAGCGGGAAGGAGTGTTGGGATGGAGGGTGCGCAAAACCTCTTCGCGCAATCGCAATCTGCTTTTGCTTTCGTTGCGAAGAAGTACGTCGAAGCGAAGACGCTGACCCAATCTACTCCCTTCTCTTCCCTTCCTCTCCCCTCTTCCCGAACCTTTTTCCGATTCGAACACCTCGCCTTGGACGCAGAAATCCAAGAGCTTTGTCCTTGATCGACGCGCGCCAATTATCCTGTGCTCAGCGCTGCTGCTCGATCGAGAGAGCACCTACTTGGCTCGATGCCGGACCACGCTCCCTTTGCGCACTGCTCAACACCTGCTATTTCCATCACACGTGTACAACATCATACTCTACAGGACCCCCACCCCCCTCACCGCTCTCGGCGGGCGAGGGAGTTGCAAATAGCAAATTCACATCTTTCCTCTCCTTGCTGATCCTTCGACCGGTTGCATGTCGCGAGCAGGTGAACAATGTTCGATTTTTACGATTGCAAGAGCGCAAAGAGACGGGGAGGGGTAAGGGGAGGAAGTTGTATTCGCAGAGCAGGAAGAGTGCAACTTCTCTGCGCATCAAACCCAGCTGCCTCGACCATTTCCCCCTCAACGTGAGCGCGGGCTTCAAAGTGTTTGTTGAGTGGAAACTTTCTTGCCTTTGAAACCCTTTCAAGTTTCTTTTTCGTTTTGGAATTCGCATTTTGGCATCTTTTGCCCGCGCGCCCTAGCTACGAAATCTTCTCTGCCCTTCTTTTGAAAGCGGCAATCATATCCCCCGCCATGCTCCTGCAAACATTGCCAGCAACGAGCGCGTGCAGAGGATTGTGAAATGCGAAAGAGACTTGAAAATCTACCCTTGTGCGGGAAGGATCGGTGGGGAGAGGGGTAAAGGTCCAACGTGTGTGCAGGTGCTCAAACAGGTCTGATTGAGCTGTTGCCTATTGGCGCGCGCGGGGGGGGGGGGGGGGGGAGGAGAAGCAA